AACTCTTATATTAGGACAAAAATTTAGAGTTTGAGTCACAACTCCAACTTTTATAACTAACTATGATAGATTGATAGGTGATGATGTTACTAATTTATAACAAATAAAACCTACTAATCATGTAGTGGGATAATTACTAATGGATCGTGCATAGAAGATGAGTTAAATATTATGGTACGTTAAATTAAAATTAGTTTAGTTTATTAATACTTAATTGAATAGTCGAGTAGAGTACTTGCTAATAAATAAAATCTATGGGGAAAAAAAAATCCCTACCCCTTCAAAGATATATAATAGTGCCCAAGAAGTCAAAAGGAAAGATGCGTCCTTTATAACATAAGTAATTTGGTTGGATCCATATATTAATGGTGTACAGTTCATGACATACAATAATTATATCTATTTCGTGGAATCATTGACATTGCGCTTCATAACAATGTATTCCACTCTTTTTCCTTAGAGAATTTATGTTTTTATAAAAGTAATCAAAACAATCTAGATCCAAATTTTGTTGATAAAATTATATTAGGCACATTCCAAATCAATACCAATTAACATCTAACATATAGTACGGAGTATTGATTTTAAGCACAATTCAAAAAAAATAAGTTAAATTAACTTCAAAAACAATAAACATAATCCTGAATTTTAATAACACTATCTATTTTAAAAAAAAATTCCATAAGAACCACAAAAAGCTAGTTTACTATTGGGCCAATAACTTTTTTTCATGTTAATGTTATATCTGGTGTGAATTATATATTATATTTAAGTAATATTATACTGAGAGTATTTCATCCCCACCTGTCTCAAATAAATTTTATGGCACAATCTTGAATTACAAGTTGGAAAATATTATGTAATTCAAAGTAATAATGCCTCCATATATGCTACAATAATTTTGCTAGTGGGACACAATACCTGCACTGTATTGTTCTAACAAAACAATTTATGTATCATAAATCAATATCTTAAGCATATAAAATTATGGTGTGATTTATTCCAACTTAAACAATCCATCTTATATATAGTCATGTAATCTAATGATGGTGAAACATTGATTTCATCAACTAGTAGAAGAATTCGTTTCAATATACTGAAAAACATTGAAACATTCTTGTAAAAAAGGCTAAATATTAAAGCATATTCCTCGTCAAATAAACAAATATAAATTCAATTCAGAACGTAGATCTGCATGACACAGAGAATCCTCGTACGGAACAGATACCTACTTAAAAATAATATAACCCTCCACTTTCAATTATTGATGTCACATACCAGATCTTGGAAAAAAAAATATCCTTAAAACATTATAAAATTATGATAATAGCAGTCTTATACTCATGATTAAGCTGAACTTGAGCCGAACACTCTCCCATAAAAGTCAACATCCGTTGCCAGAACATATCAAATCGAATTTTGAACAAATCTATCATTCAACCACTCTCAAAATCTTCTCTTCCTTAATCATAGAGACAATTAAAGTTCAAACTTAGATCTAGAAAATTAAAAAGGGCCAAAAAGCCAAATTTTGAACAAATAAAATGTGGGTTAAGAGCTCAATAATAATAGATTCCTTAGTTGATCCAAGAATATACCAAGCAAAAATCCGGACCTTCTTGGGTAAAGTAAAAATGTCCCTTAATAATATGCTCATTGAGTAAAGTATAAACTTTCGTGCCTAAATAATATGCTCTTCAAACTTTCAACATTTGAATTTTTCTTTTTGTTTTTGTTTAATTTAATCATTATTTTTCTTGGTTGAAGATGTCACTTCCTTTGAATAAATGCCGATTTTCTTTTTTATTTTATTAATTAAATAAATTTCTTTTTATTAGTTGGTGGGGACAAAGTCAGCATATTCTTATGCCCTTAGAATTATACCATACTTATTTAATGAGCAAATGACGGTGTAATTGGCTCGACTCGGCTCGAGCCGGTTTGTCCAAGCTAAGCTGCGTTTCTTGACTTTATTGATTTTATTATATAGTTCAAGTAACCTAAACATATTTTCCTCTCAATAAATGACAAAAATAAATAATTTCAATGTTATTGTTTGTACAACTTTTTGAAGTATTGCTTGGATTTGACAATACCTTTACAAGTTACTCCGTAGTTCTTTGTATTCAACGTTGAGTTCTGAAAGCTGAGCTTATATCAGCTATAAGCTAGAGTTCTGTACAAATGAGTTGCTCAAAAGATTTATGCATATTTTTTTCTTGGTCATGAATTTTATTCACGTTATTATTATTCTTAGTGTTATTGTACGAGGCTTATTTTCAGTCTAACTACGGCTTCAAGTGAAGCCGTTACACAAATAATGGATTTTTATTTTTATTTTGGCAAATATTTGAATAATTAAAATTTAATTTGTTGAATACTAGGTATTATTTTTCGAGTATTTTGATGATAAAAAAAATTATAATTCGTATATGTTTTACGAGGGCTTGTAATGTAATTTTTTTTTTTTGTTGTTGCAAAAGTGGGCCAAGCCCTACAAACAAACCGAAATAAAACTAGATAATAAGCCTAGGGGTGGTAACACCAACGACATCCTCCCAAAGAAGGTTTCTTATTTCGATTGGAGGAGCATTGAAATAAGCAATCCTTCCTTCAAGAACGACCCCAATGTTGGCTAACCTTTCCGCAACCTTATTACCTTCCCTAATGTTTTACGAGGGCTTGTAATGTATCATAGTGATATTGATTCAAAATTAGTACTCGTATTAAATACTATGTTTACAAAAAAATTGAGTGAGTGTGATTACGTTCAATATTTATGTTTATCTGTACGTACGAATGAGTAATATGAGTATTCGATTGGAAATTGCATGTTATGATATTAAAAGTCATATTATGTTATGAGTGGGCTACTGGGCTTCAACATTGCTGACTTTAATCGAAACAACACTTTTTCTTTTTGAAATTAATACCCACTTAAAATGATACCTCTATTTTATGAGCTATAGAGTAATTTTTACAGATTTTAATTAGTGTCTATCTAGAACATATAAAATGTAATTTATAATTTCTCGACTTTATTTTAGTTGCAACAATTTTTCACTTACTATTACACATTATCTTTATCTTTAATGATTTATATTTGAGTAAAAGTATAGTAATGTAGGATTTTGTTAGATTAGCCTTAATGTATACTCCCTCCTAAAACTCCGCGCATGGAGAATGGAGCAAGTATTTAAAAATGGATGGAGTACCTATAAATTTGTTATAATTTAAATTAATACTTAAAGGTGTGTTTTTTTTCACTTGATTTTCAATTATTTAAATTTATCTGAATTAAACTAAACTTATGTGATGAACTTAACTTATCTGAAATTATTAGAATTTATTAAAACTTGTTTAAACTTGGGTACTCAACTCTTATCAAAATTTATTTTTCTTAAATTAAACTTATTTGAAATTATTAGACTTTAGTAAGTAAAAATAAAGTGGGTTAAAAAAAAAAAGTAAAAATAAGGTGAACGTAACAGACCTTTATGGTTATTAATGACTGAAGCTATGCATTAACAAGCATGAAAATAAAACTATTGTAGTTAAACATAAGTGAAGGAAGTATATGATAATATTTTGAAGTATTGTACATGTTTGTTTGAATTTAAAGCACGAATTGTGTGTATATGAATCTAGTATATATGGTGTAAAGTATTGCTTAGGCCACCTTACAATTGAAGTATAATTTTAAATCAATGTTTCAAAAGGTAAACTTTCATTTACACGCAAATTGAAATTGTGGGTGGATGATTGAACTTCATGCTGTTCTTTATTCAAATTCTCCTTTTGTCATTAGAGTTTCATAGTGGTTATTCATTTTTGTATTTTCAATTTTACCGATTATTAAACATTTAAACCTCATCCAAAGTGTGAACCATCGAGTTCTTCTTTTTGAAAATATGTACTTGATTATAGTTACATTAAAAAGGGCTCAAAACAGCAGTATGTAGGTTTTGGAGTAAGTTCTTTGTTAAACTCTTATTATCAATAGATCTATATGAAATAAATGATTATATCAAGAAATATAATTCGTAGGCGACATTATACGTTTCTCTTTTTATAAATAACGTCATTTAAATCCATGTAAGATCCTTTTATTTTCGTATATAATACATTAATAATTTTTTATATAAATATGACTTTGAATATGCTTTATCGTGTAATTTAACATGTACCCATATAATATATATTTAATCTAAAGGTATCTATAATATATTGTCATTGTACGAAAAGTACAAGTCTTTTAAAGTCATACCTATATAACTTTTTCAACGGTGGATAGAATATTCTATCAATATGCTAAAAACATATTATAACATGGAACATACATAGCTAGATTAATTATATTAAATTGTAGTCCTATTTACTAGTGAAACTATCCATAAACTAAGGACACAAAGAAAGTGCCCATCCATCCATGAGATGTTTGCTTTTTCAAAAGAAGTCCACAAAATAGCACTAAGATTAATATATTTTAATAGTCCTAGCTTAAAAAAAAATATACGTTACGAGAACAATTGCATGTATACAACGCGAATATACGTTACGTCCTCTTATTAAATTAATATCAAACGTTACACATTTCAAAGGATATTCTCATCACTATACTGAAACGTCCAAACATACTGCTTACACTGAAACAACTACAGATCACAAATCCATATTCTCGCATTACTTTTCAATTATAATACACCTTTGCTAAGATTTGAAGACAAGCACCCCCAAATTAAGCAAATCATAACATTTTTTAAAATCATGAAGAGAAGAAGATACCATAAACACCAAAAGCATATTCCACATGGAAACTTCTTGTAACACACAAAAATTATATCACACCACTATTCCAACTAACTAAACTAACCCCTTCTTCAAGCCAAACTACACCTTACCTTAAGCCACCTCACAAAAGCCACTCTTCTTATCTCTTTATTATAATTAATTTAATGCCAACCAATTTATATTTTAATTTAAATTGAAAATAGAAAGGAATAAAACCAAGAAATATACTTATAACATAAAAGCATGAAATAAAAAAATAAAGGATATTCGCACGTAACAATTTCGAATATTCTACTCTTTCTTCCCTCCTTTCTTTTCTCTTCATACCGTTTATATGACTCTTAACTCCTCCATTTTCTCTCTCTCCTCTATTACCTTCACCTTCACTTTCCATTTTCTCTCTCCTCCAATAAACCCTAAATTTTCAAATTCGTGATTTTCCGACGTTTTTCGGCGACGATTTTGTGATTTTCCGATTGATTTTTGATTGATTGATTCTTGATCAGATGAAGTTTGGGAAGAGTTTGAGCAATCAGATCGAAGAAACGTTGCCAGAATGGCGAGATAAGTTTTTGTCGTATAAAGATTTGAAGAAACGGTTGAAGTTGATCGTTCCGAAGAATAATGGTGGTAACAATAGCGGCGGAGGTGGCGGCGGCGGTGATGAAAGCTGTAATGACCGTCCGATGAAGAAGCAGAGGATCGACGGTGAGGAAAGTATGACGAAGGAAGAGGTTGATTTCCTCAGATTGTTGGAAGATGAACTTGAGAAATTCAATACTTTTTTCGTTGAGAAAGAGGAAGAATATATCATCAGATTAAAGGTATAAATCAATAATTTTGATTATATTTTCAATTTTTTTGAAGTTTTTGGTTATGTTTTGATGAATTGAGTGAAATTCAGATGAATTTTAGGTTTTGAGTTGTTTATTTTGTGATTAGGTGCTCTGTTGAGCTGTAAAAATGGAGGAAAACGAAGCGTTTAGATGGAAATTTGGCTTTAAACTACGTCGTTTTACTGTTTGATTCTGGATAAACCTACTATAATCTGACTCTTTGCTTAATATGAAGATCTAATTGTGTTAAATTTAGTTGAGTAGTTAATTTTTTTCATGCAATATGTATGTCGTTTCAAGTGCTAGTAAATGTCGTTTTGCGATTTTAGTGACTCTTAGTTGATGCCAAATAGTAGGTCCCACTGCTAGTGGACGGTTATGCCAGTTATGCTATCAATATCCATACTTTAATGGCTTCAAAACTTGCCATCTGTTTACTATTGGTGTTCTGTTGCTAATCTTGGTTAGTTTGATTAATTATGACTGAAATTGCTTAATTAGGATTTAGTCATAATTAGTGTGATTAATAAGCTAGAAGCCTAGAAGTTTGTTAAATAATGTTGAAGTTGATACTTGGATGTTGATTGGTTTTTGTTTGTGTTGGTTTGAGTGTAGGAATTGCAAGACAGAGTTGCAAAGGCAAAGGTTTTTAATTATGAAGAGATGCTCAAAGTTAGGAAAGAGATTGTTGATTTTCATGGGGAGATGGTTTTGTTGGAAAATTACAGTGCCCTCAATTATACAGGTAGTTACCATGTCTGACTTTTACGCTAATGATTTTGTAATTCTTACTTAATCTTTAATGTTGCAATTAATTTGAAATGGATTGAGTACCAGATTGCACGGAAGTAGTGTAATACTAGTTAAGAAAGGTGCATGATAGTTAATAGATGCTTTATTTTGGGATAATATTCCACTCTAGAAGCTATTAATCAACATAATTGGTAAGGTTGCTTAATTGTAGATGTGAAATGATAGTTGATGACCTTGAGGTTGTCGCTTTCTAAGTTGGATATTCCATTAGCATATGGAATATAGTCCTTTGAATATGTTCTCTATGGGTTGACTCAAAGGAGACCTTTCTTGGGTCTCACAATAGGATTTCCCTTGCATTTTACTAGGTAAATATTCGTACTAAGTAGTCACTAAATAGAGATCAATGATGATTGAAGGAAAATAATATTGTTTTTAGATTGTGAATATTTCGTTATGGGTAAAATTGTGTGACACTATCACTTGTCAATGAGTCAACAATAGAATAGAAAAACTGATTATGTTTTCTGGTGTGCTGCTGTCTGTTGACTGTGTTTATTTGGTTGACGAGTCTTCTAATATAAAAATATAAATAGAAAAACCTAAGCAAGTGTTATTATTGAATCATGAATATTATAATCGTTTTAATTAACTGACCTTTATAATATAGTGCAATCATAATTTACATATGTATCTTATTCGTGTTTTAAAATTAATATAAAAACACGTGTGTACTGAGGAGTAGACAAGGATCGTTTTAATATTTTGTGATTCGAATTTCAATTTTATTTGAAATTGTCTATTCACTTGTGTTGTGTTTAAAATTGATGCTGGTCAGACCAGGCACTCAGGATATGGTGGTCCCTGCTGTATGTATGTATATTATAAAATTTCTAGTTACTATTCTTGTAGACTAGGTTAATAGTGTATCTTTTAAGCAAAAAATGATGGGAATAGCGAGAGAGTGAAGATGGAATGGAGTGTAGCCTCTACTTATAACATTAGGTTTGATGATCATGCATTCATGCCTATACAACATACAAGTATTTGAAAAAAAATAAAAGCTATATCACAATTCACTGGTGATATTGTGTTTAAAATTGATGCTAGTCAGACCAGGCACTTAAATAGGATATTGTGGTCCCTGTTTTAGTGTTGTGTGTATGATTTATTATTTAAATTCCTAGTTACAATTCTTGTAGACTAGGTTAATAGTATTATCTTTAAAGCAAAAATGATGGGAAAGTGAGAGGGTGAAGATGGAATGGAGTGTAGCATTTACTTATAACAATAGGTTTGATGATCATGCCTATACAAGATATTTGAAAAATTAGAAGTAATATATCACTTTTCACAAATGATGTGAATAAGATAAATCTACAATGTTCAATAACAGCCACATATGCCTTGTAGTCCCAAATATGTTGGGAAAGACATTATTTAAGGATATACAAGACTTGTGGTTGCTAATTTGCTAGTATTGTTGGACTAGATCATGATCAGATTTCTCAGCTGCATCACAACCTGTCTTGATGTGCAATTCAAATGATAGAATAAAAGAAGGGAATCTTAAGGAAAAAATAAAATAATGTACAAAAAATTGAAAATTACTTTTTTCTTTTTTCTTTACAAAATCTTCAAGAAAATAAAGGTTCCTAATACTATTCTTTTTTCCCTTTTAAAAGCATGTAGCGTATTGTTTAGAAAAATTAGATTTCTACTGATTTGAGCTTGGACCATTTTATTTTTGATATCGAGAATCGAGATACATACATTGAAGCTTGTGCCTTGCCTTTGTGTATGAGTTGGACTGGTGGATGTTTCATATACTTTCATAGCCGGGGTTAGTGTAAAGTCATGAATCTGCACTTCTGCTTCCCTAACAGAAATATTGGAGATCAAGAGAGTTTCAAGGTTAATAGTCCAAAGACTAGAAATTCTAGAACAAATGCCTTTTCTAATGACCTTATTTGAAGTTATTGGCCTTATGAGGTCACTGTTTTCTATATATTTCCAAGTACCTTGAACTATTCTTGGCACAGGACAATTTACCTAGTTTGCTGCTGAATACTTCCGAGTTCCGACACATGAATTACAATCTTGTTTGCTCACCGGGACATTTTTCTGTGACATGAGCTGATGAAATTTCTTTTTGACATGAGCAATGTTTCATGTCCATATTGCAAATCACGGTGTGTTCCATACTTTCATAGCTAACATAAATACGTAAATGGTCTGTCTTCTTGCTTGTTTCTGTGTGACTGTAGATTGCCTTGACTCTAGATGCTCCAATACAAGGAAGATGATCAAATTGTTCCCTTAAAATCTAATTTCTTACATAGTCCTGTTGTGACTTTATGTGTGGGTGGCCTCTGCCTTCTGGCTTTATAGTTTGTCAATAACAGGATATGAACTTGCTTCTAGCTTCTTAAGCTGTACAAACTCCCTTTTATTTTCTTATTTAGCATTTTCTCAATCAAATCTGGACTTTCAATTGCAGGTTTGGTGAAAATTCTCAAGAAGTATGACAAAAGAACTGGCGCACTCATTCGCTTACCATTTATTCAGAGGGTCTTGCAGCAGCCTTTCTTCACAACGGACTTAATTTACAAGCTCGTAAAGGAATGTGAAAGAATGCTCGACCTTCTCTTTCCAACTGATGACGAGCCAACCACAGCCTATTCAGCCGTTGGTGATGAGAGGTGCGACCCTACAACCAGTTCCACCAGCGAGAGTAATGGTCTGCTCAAATGTCCAAAGGAACTTGCAGAGATCGAGTACATGGAGAGCCTCTATATGAAGAGCACTATCTCGGCACTGAGAGCCTTAAAAGAAATCAGAAGCAAAAGCTCGACTGTGAGCATGTTCTCACTGCCTCCCCTGCAACTCGCTGGTGCAGAGGAGACATGGAAGAAGATACCTATTCTTGAACAAGTAGCCAAGTAGGCAGCACTTGCTTCTAGAGGGGACTAGAGAAGAGACGCTACTCTCGTCTCCTTCATGTATTTTTTTACTGTATTTTTTGTCCCTCGATCTCTTATGTCTGTCTTCATAGAATACTAACACAAAATGTAATACTACAACTTACTTCAACTACCATTAGCAGGTATACTAAGAGCATGAATTATGCACTGTATGATAAGGTTTGTCTATCAAGTATACTAAGAGCATGAATTATGCGCTGTATGATAAAGATTATGTTACGCACAATGTACAAGTTTCAGAACAAATTACTTGTTGATAACTTGTCCATCCAGCTATAACTGTATTGTTTTAAGTCTAAACTCAAGCTTCTTACACTAAACATGTCAACATCTAACAAGTCAAAACTCGAAACACCTGTGAGACGTGTTTGAAAGAAACAGCAAGCTGTTGTAGGAGATAGGAAACACCACATAGCCTAGCCGTGGTAAAATTTACAATTATATTTCGAAATGTTTTACGATACTTACTTAGGTAATAGATAATCAAAATGATCATTTACGAATGTATAAGCTGTAAATTATGAGAATGACAACACATGTTCATATTATATGACATAATCGCTGTCTATTATCTTATAAGCATTGTGATTTGTGAGTCATTTTGATCAAGGGGAAAACACATCCACTAGCAAAACAATTTAATGAAATACTATTAGAAAGTAATTGATAAAGAGAAAAAAGACAATTGTATGGATAGAAATTAGAAAAGGGGAGAGAAAAGGAAAGACAAAAGGGAACTTACTAATTATAAACATTTAATGAAAATTAATAGATGTGATTAAAGAGGGTTAGAGGTTAAAGAAGATTAAGAGCTTGGGTAGGGAATGAAGGGTAAAAAAATTACGGAGTGCTTTTTTATAGAGTATACTTTCAAGAAGGAAAAGAATAGAAACTATTCACACCTAACCGTTAAAATTGAGTTATATATAAAGATGGAGAAGCCACTAAGGTGCATGGGGTGTCCGTTGACACTTGACACCTAGTTAGAAGAGAATAATAAATTATAATAAATTCTTTTTTCTTTCTCTCAAACATATATATATATAAACTTGTATAAATTGATACATTGTTTTCAAAATCCTAACTACTACTATGTTCTTCTTCAAAAAAAATCCTAACTACTACTATGTTATTAGTATTCATAAGTTATCGATCAATAGTTATAATCTCTAGGTCGAAACCTTATACATTATAGTTGCTCACACACACATTTATTGCAAACATGAACTCGCAAATAAGAAGGAAAGGCGATAAAACTAAGAGGTGTTAGAGGTCATGTGAACATAAATATGGTACATAATAAAGGCACAAAAAGAACAAAGGGAAGATCAAAAGGATGAAATGATGTGATATTTTCGTAAACGCGTTACATACAAAGAGTTTAAAAAGAATCAAAGAAAAGAAAGAAGATGGCTTGCCTAATTGTCTATAGTATATTACGTCTCCCACTCGGCCACTCACTAATCACTATATATTTATATTCTCCCTTTTCAATTACGCATTACATGCACAATATCAGTCACATTAGGCCAGCTAAAAGCTTGCATTGCACCCAAATATCCATTTGCTGTTTTTAAGCAAAACTTAAAATTAAAAAATAAAAATAAAAAAAGTCAATAAAAGACATAATCCACCACTACTATATGAATGGCCCTACGCGTCTTCTATTCCTAAAAGTTTAGAGCATGATTAATTCCATAATGTTGTTGTACTTCTAATATACAAATGATAAAACATAAATAATTATACCGCGACGGAGACAGGATTTTAAAAACGTCTTACACCTTTAAGATATATAATTGTAAGAAATAAGTATATATTTTGATAGAATGTCGGCCGACACTTTATTTATCTTAGATATAGTATACTGTATTAGTGTATGGTTTTTGTTAGAGTATATAAATCGATCATGAGCTTAATTACCGGTTTAAGTTTTTGATTGAATTAACTGGTTCTTTAACATGCATATGGTATCTAAAGCCAGCAGCATGACATAAAAAATTGCTTCAAATCTCATTCACCCCATATAAACCGATCATGAACTTTAATCGCCAATTTAAGTTTTGATTGAATTAGCTGGTTATTTAACATGCTTTAATCACCAATTTAAAGCCAGCGTGACATAAAAAGGTCATTGTTTTAAATCTCATTCACCCCACATTTCAAGTAGAAGAGGGACTATATGTGGCGCCCTTTGAAGAAATTAAATGTAATGATTAAGTCTTTTAAGTGTTTCGGTAAAGATTATCTAGAGGTATTTTTATAAAATTAAAATATAAATTTGAGACACTCTTAAATTACGAATTTAACCCATGTAGTAGCTAAAAATGTAATATTTGTTCATTTAAAAATGATCATTCTCATTACATAATCAGTACGACTAGACACTTTTATTGTCTAAATTTTAAACCATAATTAAAAAAATTATTGATGAATTATATGAAAGCAGTCACATCAATAACAAACCATATCATATCCATGCACCATATTTATAAGTAAACACCAGCCATAGTGCATAATTTGTAGTGGAAGCTGAGTAGTTAGTGAAACACACCACGTTTTACAAATTTTGGTACCCAACTTGCTTGAATTGAGACTATAAATCTCTTGGTTTTTTTGTTCATTTGTGAACATATCAACAAAAATGGAAGGTTTTAGAGTTTTATGCTTGTTATTAGTCCTAAGTAAGTTGGTTATTTCTGCTAAATCTCAGTTAAGTACTAACTATTATGCTTCAAGTTGTCCACAAGTAGAAGGTGTAGTAAGATCAACTGTGCAATCTCACTTCAATTCTGATTCTACTATTGCTCCTGGCTTGCTACGAATGCATTTTCACGATTGTTTTGTTCAGGTTTGTAGTGTATTTGTTTTGCTCGTCTTGTTTTAGTAGTCTCGTTAGTGGGTAATTAGGATCAGTGGCGACTAGAAATTTTTATCTGGAGTGAAACATGAGTTGACTACTTGAAGGGAATTAAATAGTAGTCAACTCTTGTTTTATTCCTAAGGTTTAAGGATAGCTTGTTGAATTCATACTACAATAGTTTATGTGATGCATTTTTGTTTGATTTATTTGTTTATGTAACAAGGTTTGTATGTTATAATTATGTAGGGATGTGATGCTTCAGTGTTGATTTCGGGGCCTTCATCAGAAAGAACTGCCTTTACAAATATCGGATTGAATGGCTTTGATGTGATTGATGATGCAAAATCACAACTCGAGTCATTGTGCCCAGGAGTTGTTTCTTGTGCTGATATCTTAGCTTTAGCTGCTCGTGATTCTGTTGCTTTGGTAATTAATAATCTTCTTTAACTAATACAAATATGAACATGCATGATCATACATATGTATCATGTGGATATGTCTCATGTTATATATCTTTACACGTTCATTTCTTCCTTACTAAAATTAATTTTGTTTGACTCGAATTTTAATGGACAGACTGGAGGTCCAAATTGGGGAGTTCCACTAGGGAGATTGGATGGCAAGAGATCTTCAGCATCCGATGCTTTAAACTTGCCATCTCCTTTGGAATCTATTGCTGTCCATAGACAAAAATTTGCTGATAAAGGTCTCAATGATCATGATCTTGTTACACTTGTTGGTATCCCCTCGCCTTTGACTCTTTTTCTAGTATAACGGATGCATCACATATTGGTTTAACTCTTTCACAACCCTTTACAAATAGGGAGCTGAAGTAGATTTTCACATTAGATCTACAATGATTTTACCTAATACTTAGACGTGACTATTTAATTTATTTATTTACAGTATTTATAATTCAACATACGAAGTACTATTTTAAACTAGTATTGACCTTCATTTATGGAAGGTAGTATAGGCCAGGTTGGGCCCTTCCAATACAAATTATTAGTATACAATTGTCTAACACCTTAAATTATCATCTTGATGAACTTTGTTCAACATCATACATAATAAAACTATAATTATGCATATAATGGTTTTATTTAATTTGAAATAGCTTATTTTCCTTGTAACATTTTGCAAAAAAATAAAAAAATATTGTAACATAAATAGTTTAATTTATGATCTCAATTTTGTGTCCTCTCTAGGTGCACATACAATTGGACAAACCGATTGCAGATTCTTTCAATATAGGCTCTACAATTTCACACCAACAGGCAACTCTGATCCTTCAATCAACTCACCAAATCTAGCCCAACTACAAGCCTTGTGCCCCAAAAATGGCAATGGTTTAACCAAGGTGGCATTGGACAAAGATAGTTGGACTAGATTTGATGTTAATTTCTTCAAGAACATTAGGGATGGTAATGCTGTGCTCGAATCGGACCAACGATTATGGGGTGATGATGCAACTCGTGCAATTGTGCAAAATTATGCAGGAAATATTAGAGGATTGTTTGGTGTTAGGTTTAATTTTGATTTCCCTAAAGCTATGATTAAGATGAGTACCATTGATGTTAAAACTGGTTCTAGTGGTGAGGTTAGAAAGGTGTGTTCAAAGTTTAACTGAATGTAAGTTTAGTTTTTCTCAATAAATCAATTGTGTCTTTTATCAAATGATAAATTGTAATGTTACACAAGTAAGTTGTGCCGATTTATTGTAATGTTACGATGGATTTATTTTACTTAAACATCAGTTTCTTTTGGTTCATTAACTTATCTTATTTGCACTTACTTAAATATTTTTTTCACAATCTCCCTTTCCATTTCAAAGTCGGATTTAAAATGCTGTTAAATTAAACTTCTATAAGCTTACATAAAATAGTAAATTGCTATAAGTATTAAAAAATGGAGGAAGTATAAACATTCCATACAATATGGTAGACTTTGTTGCAACGTAGTGGGGTACTTCGCTGATTTGCCGCCCCATAAGGCCATGATGGCAGATGGACTTGGTCCTTGATATTAGTTTCAAGATATCCAAATTGAGCTCAAGCCCAAGTAAAAGACCAATTAACCCAAAAAGTTCTGAACATCCAATTCTTAGTAATTACTTTGGCCCTGTTTGGGAGAAAGCTGAAAGTTGAAAGCTGAAGCTGATTAAGTAAGCTGATTTTGACTAGCTGATTTTATTAACTGATTTGACTAACTTATTGTAGTAGCTGAAGATATTATTAATCCCATTAAAAATATTTAAGAGAATCTCTTTATTTATATTATTATTGTAATTTACTAATACAATTAGTTTTTTTAGATTTACAAATTCATGTTGATAGTGTTTTTATTTATTTGTTTATTTAAGATTTTGGATTAGTTTTTTTTAGATTTACAAATTCATGTTGATAGTGTTTTTATTTATTTGTTTATTTAAGATTTTGGATTATAAAAAGTTATCAATGTACCAACTCTTGAGTTTATCAATAATTAGGGGGAAAAAGCCACAACACCCGGCCCATTGTTTTTCTCATACATAACCCCTTCATCTTCCCCAAACCAATTTCACCATCTTTATCTCTTTTTTTTTCTTTTTTTTTTTGTGAAAAAAAAAACAATCAATGCTAATGCTCCATCATCCTATCTCTTTATCAAAAACAATTGAAAAGAAATCAAAATTATTGACATCTATTTTCAGATCTGACTATTCCCAACTATGAAGGTAAAGTTTAGTTAACCTTCAACTTCAATATTATTCTCAATTCTAGAGCAGTTAAACTTGGTGAAAGATGGAGAAATTCTTCTGCATGTAAATTAGAGGTCTTTTTTTTTTTTTTTTTTTTTTTTTTTCCTGGGCGTAAATAATGGTTTGTTATTATTTTCACCCTTTTTTAGGGGAACCATGATTAATTGGAGTGAATTTTTGGGCATTTGTGTAATTATGCAAAAGAATCAAATAAGCTGTTTTGAAAACGTTGGGGTTAGGAGCGTTTCCAAATTAAGCTTATCCATGCCAATCAGCTAATGAGATCCGTTGTTTACCAAACACCTCAATTAGATGATTTATTTGGTCAAATCCTCCAAATGTGCTGAATAAGCTCTTTTTGGCTCAATAAGCTAATAACCAAACGCAACCTTTATTTATTCTATAATCAAAATAATAAGTACTTCTTGAGTAAAGACTAAATACGGTCCCTGAACTTTCGTATTACGCTCACTTTTAGTCCCTCAAAAACTATTTGTGCCCTTTTAGTCCCTCAACCACCTTCTTTGGTGTTTGTCAGCCAAAAGTTGAGGGACTTTGATGACTAAGCAAGAGTTTAGGGACCATGACTCATTTTTTTTTCTTAAGAATTTATTAAAAAATTAATCTTTTAATATGTTTTTAAACCCAGCCTCCTCTTCTCATTCTCTCTCCTCTCCATCTCCTCAGTTTCTTTCTCTCTGATCTCCGCCTCCCTCGTCCCTCCTCCCTCTTTCTCTATCATATCCGCCTCCCCCCCCTTCTCATTCTCTGTCCTTGGTTTTTGAATTCCAGCGCCATCCACCCCCAGGGCTTTTGATCGGATTCGACCACTATCAATTAATGGTTTTTTAGGTCGAATTCGACCATGAAAACTCCAGATCTGGGGTTTTCATGGTCGAATTTAACCATATAAACCAAACGTTGAAAATTTCATAAGGTACGTTGAGGAATTTTTTTTTTAATTTTTTGGGTAGTGATGGTGCTGGTGGTGCGTGTGGTGGGTGTGGCTGTGTGATGGTGCTGGTGGTGGTGCGTGTGGTGCTGGTGGTGGTGCGTGGCTTAGGCTGGGTTTGTGGTGGCTGTAGGCTTAGGCGGGTTTAGGGTTAGGGTGGGGATTTCTTGATTTTCTTTCTTCAGATCTCAAAATTTCAAGCCATTTTTTAAGGAATAAATATGGGTGGTACAGTGGTGGTGGTGGTTTGAACAATGACAGCGGGGTGGTAGTTTAATTTAGAAGAGAGTCAAGTAGCAGCGGGGGGTGGTTTAGAAGAGGGCGGCTACGGTGGTGGTTTAGATGGGGGTGGCAGCAACGACGGTGGTTTAGATGTGGCGACGGCGATGAGTGTCGAGGGGTAGTTGAGATGAGGGCAGCAGGATCGACGGTGATGGTGGTCTGTGAAGTTTATCGTGATTGAAAAGTGTTTGGCAACTGATAATGTTTGATTAATTTATTTAACTATTTAATTATTATGATTTAGAAGCAGAGGAAGTATGATTTTGCCCAATTTGTTGAATAATTTGTGTAGAATTCATGATTTTGTGATAAATTAGGGGTTTTGATTTGTATGATCGATTGATTTGTGGAGTTTGTTGAATTTTTATGGTGCTGGTGGTGCGTGTGGTGGGTGTGGCTGGTGGTGCTGGTCGTCGTCGCCGGCGCTGGCTGTCGGCAGCGGGAGGGGAAAGGTGGCTGGCCTTTTTAAGGGTGGCTGGTTTTTTATTAATATTTTTTAAACAAATAATTAAAAGATTTATTTTTTAATAAATTCTTAAGAAAAAGAAAAACAAAAAATAAAATAAGTCATGGTCCCTAAACTCTTGCTTAGTCATCAAAGTCCCTCAACTTTTGGCTGACAAACACCAAAGAAGGTGGTTGAGGGACTAAAAGGGCACAAATAGTTTTTGAGGGACTAAAAGTGAGCGTAATACGAAAGTTCAGGGACCGTATTTAGTCTTTACTCAGTACTTCCTCCGTTCTTTTTTTATTGCACCATGAGGGATTTTACGTTTGTCAATGCATTACTTTAGTTATAAATATCTTCAATTATACTTATGTAAAAATTATATAAATTTGATATTTGAAAAGAAGATTTTGAGACGAATTTAACTAGATCTCACATGACTATATTTTTCCTAATGGATAAATCACAAATGATGGTCAAAGAGGATGAAGTGAATAGTGTAAAAGTCCTAATGGTACAATAAAATAAAAACGGAGAAAGTATATAAAATTATGAATATTATAAAAGTCAAACTGTCGAATTAATCTAAAACAAATATATGAGTGGATAAATGTTCAAATTAGTGGAATATGTAGTATTATAATATTCTCCCTTTGTCCCTTTTTGTTTGTCTTGACATACATAGTTTACTTTTTTCTAACAAATAAGGCAAAATTGTGTATATAGTGAGATAGAATGATGAGAGAAAGGGTGTCAGAGTAAGTGGAGTAGCAAGTTTAAAAATTTATCAAATGAAGAAGCAATTTCAATTCAAAGAAACACCCTTAAAACAAATAGAGGAAAAATAAAATGAATAGAAGTGTAATTACTACATCCGTTTCTTATTATTTGCATCAAAGGATATTTAATACATTTAATGGAGTAACAAATCACTTCAGTTTGATCACAATCTATCATAAAAAAATTAGATGTGAATCATATGATGTCCTATGTTTCAAGTATACGTGTCATTTGTTGGCTTCAACTCAATCTACATTCTCATGCCACTAGATTTGGGGGCGAAAGGACATCGTCCACAGACCATACGTACACCTTAGCTTCTTCATGTATTATCCATCATCTTCATCCATGACCATAATCACAAAAAACAAAAGGACAAAAACAAAACACATTTTTTTTTATTTGAAATTTACCAAAATTTTAAATTTAAAAAATCCATAGAAAACACACAACCTTCCATAACTCTAAACTTCAAGCATTACAACTCCATGCATATATACACCAATTATCTAATTATCCAATTTATGAGGTTGATGAATTCATAAATATTAAAACTATATAACATGCCAATTTATTTATTTATTTTGTAAATTCAAATATAACAAACAGAAAATTAAGGTCCAACATTATCAAGATGAGTATGTATGTATACCAATAACAATTGAAGGCATAACCTCTAAAAATTATAAGAAGCTCTCATTTAGCTAGATGTCTTTTTCATTATCTACCCTAGGACCCATTTTAGTGGTGATTGTTCAAAATTGATAAATTTTAGATAAAACCCCTTAAATTGAAGGGTAGAAATGTAGGTTCTCTTACATTTATATATCAATATATAATCTTGCACCCCTTACAAAAATTATTGTACAACTAACATTTATAACATTACATTGTATTAAAGTTTTATTATCTTAAATAGAGAGCTCTTCTATTCTCTCTTAACTAACACACGTAAATGTCGACCGCTGCTTCTTCTATTAACGGATGGTGCCTCACCTCCCCCGCTCGTTCTCAATTGAAGAACACACCCACTTTAAGGCCTACTTTCTTTGCTAACAATAGGCTCAACCCTTCTTCTTCTGTCCCCCCTGCCCTTATTCGCAACCAACCCGTTTTTGCTGCCCCCGCCCCTATCATCACCCCTACTTTGGTACGTACATTATGTTTTATCATATGTTTTTTCCTTTCATTATAGTAGTTCTCGTGTTAGACAGTCATATACGGATAATAAATAAGATAGATCATGTGACATTTTATCAAATATATAGTTGATCGACATTCATCTCTAACATGTATTTTCTACAAGTAATACACTTAGAGATGTTACATTAATTGGGAATGAAATATGTACAACTAAAACCTCTAGAATGTACTACTAGTAGTAAAACTAAAATACTTAGCTAATTAAAGAGATATGAGTAAGAGTCCTACATTTTAGAAACTTTTAGCATAGTTTGTTTCCATAATATACTTCATTGTTGTACATTCATTTTCTTTACTCCTTTAGGACAAACAATATGTTTGCAAAGCTAACAGAAAAAGTAGGCCATTTTCTTCGTCATATGAGATAAAT